AAATTCAAAAAAATGACAAACAAATTTTACAGATTTTTCTTTTTTACTTTTGTTTTGTTTTCTAAGTACAATGAATTAATTATGAAAACTAGTTCTAAGGAGGTTCGTGGCAGGCACTTATTAATAGCAAGAGTGTTTTGGCAGCTAAACTTAATTCTAAAAGCATTAAAAAGAAGTGTAACGAATGTATAGTAGCTTTATTTTGTAAAATTTAAGCACAGTCTGTCTATTAGTTTTTACTATGTTGAATAACACACATATATACAGACACCATGAGATTGTTATATAATAGTGTAGATTATCAAATTAACAAAGGAAATATTTAAAGTTCATCTATTTCCACATTCATCTTACTTACAATACGATAAATGCAACCAAAAACATTATGTTTGTATATTTTTAGTTTTAGACATATTGCGGTATGTTGCAATTTTTCACTAAATAAACAACCTAGATTACAATTTTGTCTATTTTACCATACCTTAAAATCTACTAAAATATGTTATTACGTATTTGAATACTTTCATTCATTGATACAGAGCAGCAATACTCTCATTGATGTTCATAGCCTAGCGCGTGTGAAGACGGACGCAGAGGGGGTGTGATTGCGGCGTTGCCAGTTCGAACGTCGCGGCCTTGTATTAGAGGTGGCTGTGACTGAACCAATTAACTACACTACCACTAGTGTAATAAATAGTTTACTTTTAACGTCCCGTTCCATTAAATATAAAATAGTATAATGGGCCTGCAAATAATACAGGAAAGCATATAAATTGTTTAGTTCATCATACTCAATTTGTACAAAATAGCTCTTCCCCCCCAAAAACATTTTAAAACCTACCCAAAAATCCCCCCAAAATATATTTTTACGACGCACTCTGCGTCATTTCACCATAGGAGTGGGCACCCCTGTTCATGTTTACCTGTATATTATCAAATATCAAGGTAAGCTCTACTCAGTATGTTAATTAAGCAACAGATCGCTAACGTACATAACTTTTAACATTTCAGATTAACATTAATGAAAACGCCGTAATGTAAGAATACGTAGTAAGCAACATAAACTCAAAGTTTGTTTTCCTGCCACTAGGCTCATATTAAGGCGCTAGTTACTAGGACAACTAAACTTCACAGGTCGCTAACAAACAGCTCGCTAAAGTTTTCGATCTGTTCAATTGTCTCTGACGTTAGCAATCTGTCTTCTAACGTTAGCAATCTGTCTTCTAACGTTAGCAACCTGTCTGCTGACGTTAGCAATCTGTGTACTATCGTTAACGAGCTGTATAGTTTTTACAAAAATTATGTAATGTTTCAGTTAGTTTATTTTTTGACAGTATTGCACAATGTTTACCTTAAATCTCTCTTAGCCTAAATATTTGTGAAGATTATTTTTAACTTTCATCTAGTTTAGATTGTGACCGCATTATGCTATCATTACAGCTAAAGACGCAATCGCAACCCATTTCTTCACTTTGCGATACATTGGTATTTTATAATATTTTGGATTTAGTACCATATTTTTTTACATGGAATTCAAAGTCTATTAAAAGTAGTCTTTCGGTGTTTTTTGCAATTTTTTTAACCGATTATGAAATTTCCCAATTGGGAACCGAAGCCCAATCTATGCATTTTGGTGCTTCGAAAAAACAAGTGTCATTACATACCGGAGTAATGCACTACATTGCGCAAGGAAAAGTAGTCTGTAAATCATTTTGTACAGATTCAGACAAATTGGACCACCAATGTCATGGGCCCACATGCGACCAGTGCTGGAGGATGCAGCTGAAAGACTCCCCTTAACCCACACCGTCCACATATTTTCCGATGGACCATCGTCACAATACAGGAATAAGAGCAACCTGTATTTCATGATAGAAATGCTACCAAATTTTTTTTACTTGGTGTTCACCTGGAACTAATCTGAACCTGGACACGGTAAAGGGTTGATGGACGGGGTAGGTGGATAAATTAAAAGGACTGCAGATGACTATGTAAAAATGGTAACGCCATTTCTTCGGCAGCAGTGTTAGTCAGAGTATTAAGTAAGAATAGCTCTGTAATGCTCGGCGAGGTGTCAAACAGCGAGTTTGTGGAGATGAAAAGCCTACTTCCCACTAATCTTATTGCCCTAAAAGGTATTATGGGAGTGAGACAAGTGAGCTGGAACAGCAGGGGATTTATGTTCGGATCAAAACTGTCTTGCTTCTAGTGCTTAGACACATTAAAGCCGTGCAAGCACTATCACTTAATGGTAATTCGAGACAACTCGGCCAATTCTTTTACTTCCAAGAAAAGAGCTGCTTCTGCTTCACGTACTTCCATATCCAAAAACATAAAATTGAAAGACGTTTCTTCAGATGAGGAGTGGTTACCAAAGGTGAAGAAAGAGAAGAGCTTGGCTTCATCTTCTACGTCAAAGAAGAAATTAACAGTTGAAGAGGTTTTCTCTTGTTCAGACGAAGATGACTTGAACCCCAAAACCCCCAAAGACAATGACTTGTTCAAATGTGTACCTGTACTCAATGAGTCCTCATTGGTAAAAGACTGTTTTGTATTTAGTTCTGTGGGAAGTCAAAATAAAAATAAAAAACCGATTAATTTTGTTGCGGTTGTGCAAACAGAAGTTGACAATGAGGATGAACTGAAAGTGATGTTCATGAAGGACTTATCTAGATATAAGTCGGTGTACATAATGGACAAAAAATATGTATCATATGTTTGTTATTAAGAAATTGTTGGAGTTTTGCCAAGCCCTTAAGTTGTGGCAAAGGGAGGAAAATTTTCCATAAATTCAAAAACAGCGTACAACTGTTAAGTTTTTTGTTGTTGTTAAACTGGTTCTAAAATGAAAACTGTCACTTTCATTTCTAGAATTGTAATTATCTTGTGCTTGTAATCTCCCAAGAGTCATTTTTATTTCTTTCTTTTGTAGGAGTACTGTTTTGATTTACGTAATACAGTAGTCTAGATTGTTTTACTATAGACCGCGACAGATCGCTGACGGCATCGACAGATCGCTAACGCTTACAAAAACTCTTAAAATCCAGTAAAATAAACTTATTCTCATATTTAAGGTTAATAATATGAAATAATTTAATCTGTTCTTACACATAACCTAAAAATTGAATCCATACAAATTAAGATTTGAACATAACTTGACATTACTTGAAATTTAAATATTTTCACCATGGCAGTTGGTTTAGTATTCATCTATTTACACTGTTTATTACATTTTTACGTTTTAATTATATGTAGAACACATTGTTGTAGCCCAGTGGGAAATATGGTGGCCATTGGGAAAAAGTGATAAAACTGCAAAACAAGTATGCTAAGTTTTCTTTCAATGCCATGATCATTTGTTTATAGTAAAAAAAAAAAAAATAAAGCAAAGCTAGTAATTGTATAGGTAGTATTATTAACAAAGTACATGTCCTTTAAAAATCAGATAAGAAATCAATAAAATTCAATTACAGTAGACTCCCTCTTATCCGGACACCTTTTAACCGGACATCGGTTTAACCGGACTACACTCGGCGGAAATGACATCTCTTTAAACGGACAGTTTTTATCAGCACATTGGTTTAACCGGACTATATCGGCAGGAAGTGGGCAGTACTGAAACGTCTGTTCTCGTGGGAAAGATTTGAGGCCAGTGATCACGTGTCTTAATACAATGCTCTCCTAAATTTAAGTCGAATATCACAGTTAACAGTCCGTTTTTACGAGTTTTTGGGGACGTCGGTTTAACCGGGAAACCCGTTATCGGGACTGGCCTCTGTCCCGAGGAGTCCGGATAAGAGGGAGTCTACTGTATTGTAATTGTAAAGTAAATTATGTTTCATAATAGTTAATGGTATTCCTTAAATTCAAACCTGTCAAATTTCTTAATGTTTCTATTTTATTTCTACTTAATAAAGATTTTCCAAATATAATAACTCAAATCACAGAAATAACTTTTTTGATTTAAACATTTTGATTTTTTCGCACAGTTTATTTATTTTTTATTATTTTTTTTTTTTTAAGTCCAGCACTATTCTCAAATACGGGTTTTTGAGAGTCCATGAGGATTTTCTCTCCGCCCGATGAAATAAAAAGAAAATTGTGATTTAGATTTAAATTGGAATTTATAAGGAAATTATTGCTTGTTATTAACTAACTAAGTCCTTGGTAATGAAATATCTGTTATAGGCTACATATCATGCACCTTTTACACTAATTTATTGTTATAACAGTAAGAGGATTTTGACGAGCGAACGTAGAACATTTTTCAAGGGAGAAGCCGTTATATGATTTGACAAAAAGACAGCAGTGCCGCTGTGATCCAATTGCCAAAGGTTCTACAGTGTGTCGGTATCAAGTTGACGGCCACACCAGGGTCGGCGCTCGGCGGCGCCATTCTCATACGCGGATGCTGTATCCCCTCCTAGCACACGGATCGTTGGTTCCTCGTGTGGCCACGAGCTGTGCCAACTTTAGTGCTACAAAACTCTGCAGGATCGTGCCACTGTTCCCCCGTCTTCATCTTTTGACATAGCGATAACTGATCTACTAAGGGAGTATGCTTAATCTATGGTAGCACCATGGACTTTGGAACCATGGCGGCGATGTCGTGGGGTCTGATCCTGGTATCTGCCACTACTTTTTATCAGTACAGTTCCCCCTTCTACTGTACTGGCTCATCCCTAGCTTTGTTGGATCCGTTCCACGCACAGGTCTCTGTGGCTCATGTGGACGGGCAAATGCAAGGTAGAAGCCAACCTCTTAAAAAAAATAAAACTCAAAACCTGACCAGTCGCCCTATTCAACATCTGTCCTTAATAGAAATAACTTCCAATTTACCTTTAAAAAAACTGATGACAATTAAATCATTGATTTAACAACTTATATTCCATTCACTTAGTTCTTAGAGAAGAAGTTAGTCTCGTTAATGATAGAAAACTCGTTTACTGTAAACTCCACTTTACTGTTGCGTACTTTTACTGATTTTTTAATTGTTTTAGATGCAGAACAAAGGCACAGGAGAGAGTGCACCTGCTGTGATTGATGATGACGCGGTTTGCTGCATCTGCCTGGACGGGGAGTGTCAAAATTCCAACGTCATCCTTTTCTGCGACATGTGCAATTTGGCCGTGCATCAGGACTGCTACGGAGTCCCCTACATACCTGAGGGCCAGTGGCTTTGTAGGTATGTACACTAAATTTGTAAGGAATGCTGTAAAAGACTTATTTTATATTGTCTTATATTGTTGTGTGGACAGAAACAGTTGAGTTGTAGATTAAAGTGCTCACCTATTAACCTTATACCTAAACATATATTAAACCTATTTATAAGTGTTAGAGGTTTATTTTTAAATAACATATATTTACACTTATACTGATAACTCAACTGACAGTAAATACATATAAAAGAGATGGTAAGTGATGATCGATTTTGATTGGACACTCCTATCATTGTCAGATCTACTAAGCAAATGACAAGAACCTCGATGATGTCCCTACTTATATATTCTTGGCTACCGATATACAATAGTCGCATCTACCATATTATTGTTGTTACAAAGTGATTGGGATTGTTGTTAAAGATTTTCCGTTTGTAGACGGTGCTTGCAGTCACCCTCAAGAGCTGTGGATTGTGTGTTGTGTCCCAATAACGGAGGAGCCTTCAAGCAGACTGACAGAGGCCACTGGGCACATGTTGTGTGTGCTCTCTGGATCCCAGAAGTGCGATTTGCTAACACTGTGAGTCAACAAATTGTTTAGTCTTAAAGCATTTAAACAGTTGTCCCAATCAGAATATCTAAGAAGCAACTTTCATTTTTAACTAGTATTACATGTCATAACTGTTTTCTCAGAGTTGGTAAAATAGTGTTTACCAATCTAATTTAGTAATTTAACATCTCGAGGCTGTGTTAGTAAGTTATATTTGGTTTTTTATGTCCTAGGATGCTAGGCTCTAGCCCGGTATTGTTTTTCACTTTACTTCAGGCTAGACCTAGGGGTTGCGGCATTATCACTTGGATAAAATCCATTGGTGATTTGGTGGGATTACCCAGAACCAAAGTCCCTTGCTCTACCACTAGACCAGCTCACTCCCATACTGTTTCTGTTCCTAGTTCCTGTTGTTCCTGCTGTCCCTAACTGTCCTGTTGGTATGTTTTTAAAATTTGAATAATACTGAGTAGTTATATAGATATGTTTTAGTGTTAAGAGTTACGGATTAAGTAACATTGTATCATTGACTATTCATAGTACTAGATACTCCGTCCCCAAATTAAAGATGTCACCAGTTTTTTTTTTTTTTTTTCTTATCAAATGGACATAGTTGAAGTGAGCCAATGACGGATTGCACTGATTTAAATTGCTAATGTCTGTTGAATATGCAGACTTTTAGCCAAGTAAAACTGATATGATGACTTATTGTGAGCTATACCGTAGCATTTTTTATATCACGTCAACTATCTCAGTGTCACATAAGGTAAAAATAAAATTTTAATCAGTAGCGCAATCTGTGACTGGCTCACGCAGTCCATTTTGTGTGAAAAATCTGTGACAGCTGGTCCATATAGATGGGATGTTTACTTTAATAATGCAAAATGTAATGATTGTATGCAAATAGTCCTAATTTCTGAATGATAATGGATATAGAGTAAGTATAACAGAAGCCCCAGGTTCAGGCCAGGGGTGGTTTTCCGTAATGGTGGACACTGCGGCCACTAGGGACCTACCAGTATATATATATTTTTTTCTCTCTGAAAAAAAGAATTTCACTTAAAAAATCCGTTGGGGGTTTAATTTTCGAGCCAATCGCTGAAAGTGTTCACGAGGATTGCACGATCGAAAACCAAGCTTTCGCCATAATTACGAAAGACGACAATGAATTTGCTAAAACAGCAAAAATGTTCATAACTTCTCCAATATACTAGCTTATTCATTGGGAGAAGAGTTGGTTGAGGATCAAGGAGGTACAAACTGACTGATTCTAATTTTAAGCATGCAGTTTTATTAAATTATCATTTTAAATGGAAGTGATTCTTCTATGCTACAGAATAAAAAAATAAAAGACAGGTAATTATTTTTTTGTTTGTGTTTGTTGTACAACATCACCCATGTGGCAAGGTATAGAAGAAAACTACAGTGTATTGGTTTTTTAATCATTGTTATTTTAAACTTAGGTGTTTTTGGAGCCTATAGACAGCATTGAGACGATCCCCCCGGCCCGGTGGAAGCTGACGTGTTATATTTGCAAACAGCGAGGAGTAGGAGCTTGTATCCAGTGTCATAAGACCAACTGTTACTCAGCCTTTCATGTGACCTGTGCTCAACAAGCAGGACTGTTTATGAAAATGGATACAGTCAGGCACATCAACACAGGTAAACTCGCTACAACCTAAAGACCCTCTACGGCTTAGGTATTTCACTGTCTGTCTTGCATAATTGGAATCAGACATATATAAATCACTTCCCAAAAAATGAGTGTCTCATTCAATTTGCGAATAGTTTTCAGGAAAATTAATCTGGCCAGAACTGATCGATCTATTAATTTATAGACAATGAAAATTAATGTATAGACTGATAGAAATATTAGAATTAATTTAAAATAGAAAATGCTTTTTATACTCTCACCTTAATTATCAAAGGTTTTTTTTTGAGTAAATGTTGAATGGCAGAATGTATGGCTGCTAATTCAAATAGAACTTGTTAAGGAAAAATCTAAATATTTAAAACTTACATAAAGGGGTAAACTTAGCAAATAAAACTTAGTAAATAAACTTTTTTGTGAAAATCTTATATAAAGGTATAGTCTTGGGCTGCTAATGTATATTTTGTGCCCATTTAAAATTTTACTATTTTTCTGCAGTGGGTTCGGAACCCGGGCCTGTGATGGTGCAGAAGACGGCATATTGTGAAACGCACACACCCCCAGACTGCGAGCCGAGGCCTCGTCCAGCCATCACAGGAGCTGAAGAACATCGCAGACTACAACTAGCTAAGAAACGCAGTTCAGTCCCCGTCATATCAATCCCCACCATTCCCCCTGACAGGTGAGAGTGATTATTCATATATATTAAAGATACAATATTTGTACATAGTTTGTACATTCTCTATACAAATCACATTAATAGTTTGCACTTATTTTATACTTTTCCTTCAAACGTCCCGTTTTTGTGTGTTCTCTAAATCGTTCTGTCTGGTGGTATTTTGCTTTCTGGACATTGGATTAAAATGTCAAGTCTAATTATTTTGCTCCAGTCCATTTGTAAAAAAATCCTAAGTTTATGAATTGTACAAGAAAGATAATATCAGCTATTTTACCTTAGAAGAAGTACAGGTAGTCCATAGAACATGCAGAAGGAAGACACATAAAACACACAATATTTCGTGGTCTGGGGGACATTGTCAAGTAGAGGAAGTGATATCGAACTGGTTGTATAAAGGGTTAAAAGAACTTGATTTCCTTGCCAAGGATTATCTTAGAAACAAATATAAAGGGTTCCCCGACCTTTAACCTGACATTGTAGAATACCATTATGCCCTGTCCTGAAGTACAAATTTCCATCACACATTTGATAAATAAGTTTCTTATTTTGCTTTAAAATGATTTTTTTTTATAAATTTTAATCATGTGTTTTACACATTTTCTACCAAACTTGTTTTAGGATTCAAGAGATAGGATCTTTGGTGACATTGGCAAAGAAGAGTCAGTTTCTGCAGCGCCTGATTGCCTATTGGACGCTGAAGCGGCAGTTCCGCAACGGAGTACCTCTTCTGCGCCGACTTCAAAGCTCTCACCTTGCGCGAAGTCAACAACCTGCGTCAACCCGAACTGCTACCAGTGACATAGTAAATTCATCTTTCTCCTTGTAGATTAGTGTAATAAAAACAGTTTGTGTGTGCTGTAGTGTTTGCTTTGTAGAATTCAACTTGCATGTAGTGCTTTGTAGACATTATTTTTCTTATATATATTTATTTATATATTTAGTTAGTTATATACTTGTTTTACATTGTAATAATTTTTAATCCATTATAATAATGTTTTTCATCCACTATACATTTATAATAATGTTATATCTGTTATAATTTTTATGAAGCTTACACTTAGGTGTATATACTCCTTTGTTCAGTTCCTTTTCACTGTTTACATACTTTATTTTGGTTATTTGTTATGGAGAAAACTAAAAAAATGTAAATTTAAATTCCCATTTTATTCCTATGGAGAATATTGTAAAATGTAGTTTGCTTGTTTATGGATATATTTTGATCAAACTGGGCAAATATATTCATTTTAGAAGCTATAGTTATTTTACTTAAAAACACACTAATTTCCTTGTAGCAGCAAACCTAGGTACTTGTTAAACCTGTTATTTAAATAGATCAATTGAAAATCAATTCATCCAAATGGAAATTCGCTTAGACGGCAGGTTTGCTGCACAGGGGCATTTATTATTATTTTTGTTTTTAACTTGTTTAAATGAACCTTATGATTTTTTTTACGTAGCAGCCATTATTTCTGGTGTAAACCTACTTATCGCTCACAATATTCTGAAATGTCCTTCCATAAACTTCCTGAAGTGGCTTATTTTTCCATTTCTGGTTTATTATTTTATATCTGTGGTGCCAAAAATAACTCAAAACTCATGCTGAATATCCCACAATATTTCCCCTATTTTTTCCAAAAACATTCAAAATATTAAGCTGTGGCTTCATTTGACTGTTTTAGTTTCCCAATGAGCCCAAAGTTAGCTGTTATTTTTAGTTTAAAGATTGTATAGCCAATATGCACGTTAAAGTTTAACTATGTTGTTTTTATTAACATGGTTTTTATCATATATTTTTTGTTTCGGCTTGCATATACATTGTAAACATTCTAAATAAAGTACTTGAACTTGAAAATGCAGGAAGTGTTGAAGATAAAGGCCTACTATATACTATAGTATTTTACATCGCCGAGTGAGGTAGAACCAGTCGACCACACTATTAGCCTTATGCCTCGAGTCTAGTGTGTTCACTGGGGGGGCACAGGTAGCCTGGTGAGTGAGTCATACCTCTAGCTCTCTCTGTGCAAACTTTATTGGAGAAAATAAGAATATGATAGTATAAATGAAATCTAATGTTCATTTTGATACAAAATTTGTCAGAAACAGTGGGTTAAATTAGATGAAATTAAAATAAATTTATTCCTACAATCAGATCCTTTTTTAGTTTGCACAGAGATATTAGATCCACTGACCAGACCCCCTGTGTAGCCCAGAGAGTTCTTACTAGACTTGAGGAGGGAGAATATTTAGTGTGTTAGACTAGTTCCGCCTCACTCTGTGGTACAAAATACTACACGATCATTACTTTTCACTACCTCAAACTTAATGTAAGAGCATAACACAGGAAGGTTTAGTATTTCCTATTATGGAGCAAGGCTGTAAAAGAACATCCTATTGTAGTAACCTTTTTCTGAAAATGACAAAATTGAAAAATAAAAATAAACACGAAATAGTACATAGTCAAACACAAAAGACTCTTTAACACTAAAAACGATGGTCAGTGTAGTGGGCATGCGTCTTTTGTTATCTTATCACTACAGGTTCTAGCCTTTTTTTTATTTTTAACGTGCCATGTGTTTCTGTGTCTTATGTGTTTCACTTTCACTGTGTACCGTTTCATGTTTTTGTTTTTTCTTGTTATTTTTTTTTTTTTTTTACAGCATCATTTATTTCTGGTTCAATGTAGACATTATACACAGAAGTGTTAACAAAATTAATAAGAAATTAACTATAATAACATCGTGGGTTCTTGTTATTATAGAAAGCTATTTGACATTTGATAATGTTGATAAATTACAGATAGTAAGATATGACTAAGCAATGCAAGAAACAAAACTGATAACTTAGCTCTAAATGTATATTAAATTGGGTTCTCTATGAAAACTATGTTGTCTTTACTTTGTTAGTAAACATGACTGTTTTTTCAGAGTGAACTTTATCGCCAACTTAAATACTGGCAGTGTTTGCGTCAAGACCTGGAGCGTGCGAGGCTTCTGTGTGAATTGGTGCGCAAAAGGGAGAAATATAAAAATGAATTGGTCAAAGTGTAAGGATTTTGATTTTACTAGTGTTACGTTGAGTAATAGGTTTGTGCATGTTGGATAGGTTTGTTAGTCTTAATTAATTTGTGGCGTGTTTTACTGTCCAAAATGGATTAATTAAAATATTTATTAATTGTCAAGCTTCTGTGCCAAAATTTAATGGCCGCCAATACAATATAAAAGTCAATTTTATTTTTTCTATTTAATTTTTTTATGGTTTCAGGCAAAGGTTAAGATACAAATTATAGTCTACTTATATGTCCCCTTAGAAAATAATCCATGGACGTGAAATGTGTGGGTTGGTTATTGGTCTTTTAAAAAAATGTTCTAATGAACTAAAAAAATATTAACTAATAAAGCAGCAAGTCGATAGCGCTGTAGGCTGTACCAACTTCTATCTTGATTTGATTTATAACTTAAGCTCCTGTGATTCCATCAACATACTCAACCTTAGAAGAAATATGGCTTAGATGTTAAAGTTCCTTGTGTTAGCCTTGTCCTACCCTTGTGCTGGATCAGTGGAAATTTTACTTCCAAATTGTGCCTCATTTGAGCTGCCTTCTACACCCATATTTATAAAATAATTAAAAATTTAATAAAATAAAAAACCGGTGATTAATGCATTTTATCACATCCATTACCATGGGTTATTTCACAGCTTATACATATCTCCTTTGATTTTTAAATATGATAATTGAATACAAATAATATAGGAGTAATAATAGTATTGTTTCATACACTACTAATTGTAATTTTTTCAAGCAGCAAATCTCAATGTGTGGAGATGAAACTTTGCCCATTGGAATGCTTTTTGAGAAAGTTGTTGGATTTACTCCGCGCACGAGACACTGGTGAAATATTCATTGAGCCTGTGGACCAAACTGAAGTCCCCGATTATGGGGAAGTCGTCAAACATCCTATGGATCTTTCCACTATGAGGGTGAAGGTAAGATGCAACCACCACAACTTACAAAACATCCACTGTTTCTATTTTTTGGGGAGCGAGCTGGTGTAGTGGTTAGGGCGCGGGACTTCAGTCCCTGAGGTCCTGGGTTCGATTCCCGCCAAGTCACCAATGGATTTTATCTAAGTGATAATGCCCCAACCCCTAGGTCTAGCCTGAAGTAATGTGGAAAACAAACCCACGCTCGTGCCTTGCCTCCTAGGACAAAAAAAAAAAAAAATTATTAGTGAGTTTTAAAACTCCCAAAGGGATTGAACAGTGGACTCTCAGTCATACAACTCCCACTTATGCAGCACAATGATGAGATTTTAAAAGTGTTTTTTATGTTCTGAATAAAGAAAACAACTTAAAACAGTAACTAGTTTTAGCGCATAAAGGTTTTTCAGATAGTCCTAAAATATCATCATCATCTTTATTCACGATTATCTCCCGCCATCACTGAGACATCATCATTTTCACTTGCGATTGTGGTGAAGTCATGAACTTCTCCTGTGACTGCTGGAAAAAATTCTATTTCGAGGAAATCCTGAATGAAGTGTTATCCTGGCTGAATATAGGGAATAGTTTTTATCCCAAAAATTCCTACAAGTTTCAGGACCCGGCCATCCCTATAAAACTTGTTTTCTGGTACTCATACTGAGAAGCTATATCACAACTTACTGTATTCTAAAACTTTTCCAGTCTGAGAACAATGTCTTTTTACAAACATTTATCTTAAAATTCCTAATGAGCAAGGCAGCCTATGAATATGAACTATGCACAGCAAAATTCTATAAAGTTAGTGTACAATTCTAAAAATTATGAATTAAACAATTTGTCCCTTATAGAATCATAAACCTCTTTATGTTTTTTAGATGTGTAATTGTTAATGAGAACTCTAATACTATATGGTAGTTAGATATGGTCAACACCCAAGCCAGTGGAATTTGAAAGATCCTGTTATAAGATTTTTTTTACTTAAAATGATTTACAATACCTGCATATAGTAATCCTTTGTTGCTGATTTTTGCAACTAGTTTCGGTTCATTAGTGAACCATCTTCAGGCATCAAGGTGTCTAGACTTTACCTCAGCCCGGTCACGATCGATTGTCAATGTCCCTTCGTGTTTTTCGTGTTTTTTGTAATGTGTGTCCGTTCCAAGTATCGTGTTTTGTATATGTCTTATTTATTGAACTCTGTTATTAACGACCTTCAAATGAAGTGAGAAGTGATTATTTGACACCTTGAGGCCTGAAGATGGTTCACTAATGAACCGAAACTAGTTGCCAAAATCAGCAACAAAGGATTACTATATGCAGGTATTGTAAACCATTTTAAGTATAATACAGTAATCCGGAGGCTAAACAACTATTTTTAAAATTTTTTTTTAGGTGGACAACTTTGAATACAGTTCTTTAGAAGAATTTGAGGCAGATTTTCATCTGATGATTGATAACTGTTTGGCCTACAACAGCAAGGACACAGTGTTCTATCGGGCAGCTCTCAAAATGAGGGATCAGGTTTGTACACCACAATTATATGGTTAAAAGTCATTCAAATACATTTAAATTGGAAATATGGTATAGGTTTAAAGCCATTTTCATCTCCAGTAAGCGAGTATCTTTCCACCAACACAATAAAACAATGACACTGACAAACATGCTATTTCTATAGGTTACACATTATCTCAACTCCGTCAGGCCTGATTTGATAGGTTCAAATTGACAAGTGGTTTTAATTTTTATATCCAACTTTACTTTTGCAAATTTCATTGTTGGACAAAAATACTTTTTTTAGTACTAAATTTATAACGGTCATTATAATGCTTCTAACTTGAAATTAATTGATACAAAAATCCTTTATTCTTATCTTGCATTTAATATTGTCTTATAATTACGAAAGGTGTCCGGCTCCATTGAGCTCCCGTCACTCAAGCAAGCAAGTACAAACATAAGACCAACGTCGTGTTCCTTGTTTCATCCACTACTATTCAAGCCTGGCCCCACCCATATGGGACAATTAGTTTTGTCCCAGTATTCAAAACGTAGTGAAAGAAAATTGACGCTTCCGCCAAACAAAAACTTTTATTCTGAACTGGTGTAAGAAGACACTATTGTAGGCCGGTATAACTGATTAACCAAGCGCTTTCAGGAAACTACTAACTCGGTGGATGTAAGCGGGTAGTTAATGGGTTGGTAATTAATTAGTTAATTAGGTAATTAATTAGAGCCTAATATTTACTTGACGTATCAAATGAAGACTAAACAAAAACCAAATAGATAGCTGATAAATATTTCCTGTCTAAATAATTGTTTATTTCAGGGAGGAGTCCTGTTGCGCCAAGCAGCACGGGACCTAGAGGCCATGGGATTAGACCGAGGATCAGGTTTGTCTTTAGAGAACCACAGTCCTATCAAGGTGCCATCAACGCCAGTAGAAGAGACAATACCTGCAGAGATAGACAAGCAGTTGGCTGCCGTGGCAGATCCTAACAACACTATGGTAAATATTACAAACAATAGTTATGGTGGTTTTAGTTAGCATAAATGCATATTGCTTGAACCCTGGAGAGCTTTGTTCTGCTCTGCACCTACTAAAACTTATCGTGCCCTGGGGAACCTGGCAAAAACCCTTATTCGATGACTTCATGCCTTAACACTTACAAGTCTAAACCTAACCCTAACAGATAACTTGTGTGAATGTTTTATTAAGTTATAATATTTTACCCTCTAAAGTGGTGCAAATATTTGCTAATGTTGTATTCAGCACAAAGTATGTTATCTTTTTATTAGTGTTTCAGGGTCATGTATGTACTTCTACAGAGGAATTCCTCTAATTCAAAAATACCTCCCTTGCAGCAGACCTGTAGACTAAACAAAATTACCATTTGTCTGTTTGGATTTTCTCTAAAATATTTCCCTAAATATGTCAGATTTATTGATTCATTCCGTATTCAAATAACATAAGATTTAACAAGCCCTTAGGATTGCTGCTACAGGGAAGGTAGTTAATAAAGTGGGGGTTTTAGTGGAATGTAATAACTGTTTTCTTTGTCTATTTATATTCTTGCAAAATTTGACATATTTTATGTTATGCAGTGAAGTTTAACAGTACAGTTGATATGTTTAAAATGTAACTTATGGGACGCCTTTTTGTTTATAGGGAGAAGACGAGATCATGTGCAAATTGCTTCAGCTTCTTGATAGTTGTCAAAACCTAAAGCATGGAACAGCACGAGCACGACGCATCAAGATGGTTAATGCAGAGATCGCAAAACTCAAAAAGAAGTCCTCCTCTGAAACTAATTACAACAAACGTGAGTTAGGTACTTAAAAATAATAGTGGGAAAACTGGATTTAATTTTAACGGTTTTAACTTGATTAAATTTATTGATTTGTCTGTCATTTGCCACTTTAATGAAATTGTTGAAGAAATCATGGCAACATTTTGTTATCATCAATGAATCAATACTTTATTTTGCCATTCAATAAAAATCTTGTACAGTAGGCCACCAGCTGATTAAAACAGAAAAAATAGGTACAGAAAATAAAAATCACCTGTTAGTTGATGTTCTTCTAACCAGTGAAAAAGCAAGCGAAAGAAAGGAAAACACAAGTAGATACCTACTGTCAAACATCCAGCTTATCAACACTGCGATCGAGGTTATGGCTTATGTTTGATGTAACGGATGATTTTAAACCAGTGAAATATTGTTGAGCTATAGTTATTGTGAGGTGTTTTCTAGTAATTAAAGGTGACAGAAAATACCCAGTAAATAAGATGTTAGGTGGCAGATTTTTATCTTAATCTGATCTAGGTTGGCCAGGCCTATTTTAAAAAAGAAAGTAGATTGTGCAATGACACCTGTATGATTTCAATTTGTCAAATTTTACCCCCCTGCAAATTTAGCTTGTGAAATTTATTTAGTATTTTTGCAGTTAGCTTAGTTACACTTTGATAAACTTTTCTCATTTTTTAGTTGTTCAAAGTGTTTCTAGCTTAGAGCAACAATATGACCTCACAGTAATATGACATGTCCCTACTAGAATTTCCAAGGTTAGCCCATACAAAGGCCACTCCTCTTGAAGGAGCTGCATACCCATCTTCACTAGTAGAGGCCAAGTCAATTTAGTAGTCCAGTACACTCTTGATTAATCGAGTTTGTTGAGACCGAAACTACCTTGGTCACCGAGACTCTTGGATAACACTAAGGTTGCTTAGATATTCAAGCTAAGAATTATGGTACCACATTAGGAAGTCAAATACGTGTAAAATAGATGTTTTAATAATACAATGTGTATACAAAATTATCAAATTAAATTTTCATGCAAACCTTTCTCCAAATAAGGTACTGTTACTAAAGAAAATAATAACACAAACATGCTCAATACTTCTTCGTCTTGAAAACCTTTAAATACATTGTTTTTAAAATTATTCCAAACCAACACACTAAAGTATTAAAAAAAACAATTAGTGGGATCTTTCTAGTTTAAAAAGTATAAAAGTATGTTTTGTTCGAGTTTGACACGAGCTATACGTGACACAATCATGTCAACATAAAAACATCGTAGGCTAATGACAAAAGGTGATGTAAACCGGTAATATCCAAATACAAATACCCATGTGAAAATGCCATTGTTATTGTTATGTTCTGCAGTTTGCCAATTGGTATGTGACTAACCTAGTAATTTGTGGTTTTCATTTTCTATTTCTAGGTTATTGCAGATCATTTGTATGTTAAAATAAGACTTGTAACGATTATTTCAAGTGTTCATTTTAACAAATTACAAATTAATTTGTACTTCTACTTAACTCCAAACAGAAACATGTGTTAGTAATGTAATTATTGTATACTAACCGAAAGTAAAAATTATATGTATATTTAAAAACCACCTTATATATCCGAGAGTGTGTGTTGGCTTAAAGCTCTTATAATTTTTTTACTAACTAAGTTTCAGGCAAACGAGAAGCTCCAGACTCTGGAGAATCGTCAGATGAAGAACCTACCAACAAATCTAGCCCGAATGTGGATCAGAAACAGAGCAACGACAACCTTGTCATGCCAGGTTGGTAGAGATGCACTCAAAATGCCATATTTATATTTAAATGGCAAAGTTTGTTAGTTATATTTTTTATATATATTGTTTTTACAATTAATATTTTACAAATAAAACACTGTCGTATTACATATTCATAACTCCTGCAGCTAATTGCAGAAGATAGTTCTCAAGACCAGTTACAAGCATACCATACTGAGCATTATTTATCAAGCAATTATTTGTTTTCAGCCAAGAGACCGAGAAGGAAGAAGACGTGGGATGATTTTGTGGAAGAACCGATAACAGGGAAACATGATAGGTCTCAGTCTATGATATCTACAGTTCAAGGTCAGATAAGATCATCATCATGTAAGGAATGGTTTATGGAAAACTGTGCTATAATGTAGCTTACGTCCCCCCACCACTAATCATTCTAGAGGAACTGTGCAAGTTTGTGCTTTCTGCAGTTATAACTGTGTGTATGGCTTTTGTCATTATCTTGATTACACAAACTGTCAAGGTGGATTGTGCATTTGCTTGTCAATTTGTAATCGAATCAAGTTTTTGTTCATGATTAGTTAATATCACCACTAATTTAAGTAGATAGTGGAAATGTAAATTGTGCTTGGTCATTGGTGGTTCCTCGATGTTTAGTTTTACTGGCTTGTATTTGAATTTTCATATAATTTTAAAACCCTGTTTTTTAAAATTTATAATGGGATAGAGTTTAGCTAGGTTACGTGAAAAAAAACTAAGACTATAACTAAGAACTAAGACATGAATCCCTGGTCAACAAAATTTGAATCAGCCACTTGGCTTTGCTTTAATATGATAACCTGTTAGGTAAACTATCCCCAGGTGTGAAATTTGTTTATTTCAATTGGCTGATTTGTTATTATTATTTAATTTTTTTATATTTTTTTGTAAAGTAAAACCCCTTTTAACCGAACAGCGTTAAAATGAAACCCAGGTTAACCAAACCCTAAAGAATTCAAATCTAAATATTAGCTTAGCTATGGGAACTGTCAGTTGTGGCGTGGGTTGGCCCGGCTTGGCTAACGCAATGTAATAGAGCATACCATGACACAAATTGATTCAGAATACATTTGTTGATTATTTGAAGACATAGGTTTTCTGAACAGAGGTAGATTTTAAGATGGTAGTAATTAAAATTACAGAAAAAGAGTATTTTTGCTCTTTGAACTGAAATAGCCTTTGAATTTCTACTGTTAAATAACCAAAAAATAGGTTATACAAAACAGCCTCACCCCCTATATTTTGGTTAATCGGGGTTTTCCTGTACATTCATTGCTATGTTTTTTTTTATTTAAGGTTATATTGACATCCCCAGTTTGTTTTGCCACAGTATGAGCTTAGTAGCCTATTTCAAATATGTTTATGTTGTTTGGTTGCTGTCTCAAGAGTTAGGGAACTTACAAAATCAACCTGTGAAGAATAAAATAAAAGAAATTTATATTGCTAAAACATTAAGTTCAGGAACAGTTAACAAAACAATCAAGTGTCAATCTTTAGTATCCTTCTTTCTAAAATGAACTTGAAGAATTAATGAAGAAATAAAAACGAAGCAACTTGTTAATGCTGCTTTTATTCAGTGGCGGCGATAAGAGCCCGCGGCCCCCCCCCCCTGCATGTTTGTTCGCCAGGCCCCCTCTCCCAATCATCTTTAAAAACATTATCACATGTATTACCGCCTAAACTTGCACTTTGGCTTGGCATCTCCTGAGGCACCGAGGCGTCATCATCGTCTTCCATGATAGCGGCAAAATCGTGAATACTTCCTTCCCGCAGTCATAGAAGAAACATTATCATAGTCTACCATGATAGCAACCAAACCTATGACATCATCTGACAGCAACATCATCGTCTCCAGCGTTCACGGCCCAATCTCTAATATCTCCCGCGACCCGGAGGACTACTTGTCCTAGTTCTCTTACTGGTTTTAACAAATTTTCGTCATCAAAAACGTATGGTTATTCTTATATAAATAATGTTGTGATATTGACATCCCCAGTTAATTTTGCCACAAATGTGTGGCTAAGCCTGTCGCACAATCGCAGGCCCGTATCACGGTAAAATATCCCGAAAAATCCCGGTCAAGGCTCACGGGCCCCTCCGCACCGCAGGCCCGCTATCGCCGTCACTGCTTTTATTGTATTAAACTTTAGCCACTCTTTTTACCTATTTAAAAATAATCCATTTTTCAGGATAATCTTTACTCCTAAACCTCAACCAACCTATTGAACAAATCAAATAAAGTACTAAATTTAATATAACATTTAAGATTGTATTAACTTTCAGGTTCTTGAATTGTGAAGCTAAACTTACCCTTAAGACAGTAAGGATTCAATTTTTTTTTAATAACTGTTTATTTATTTCTTTTCAATTGTAACAAACAAATTTAATCATTTCAATACTTGTTAACAAATTCTTAAACTTTTTGAGCGACTATTCCCTATCTGGGTAGGGTCCAGGCTAGTTATTAAATAATATCACTCTTCGTACAACAGTACCTCTCAGATGTGAAGTAATTTTCAATGTGTTTCTATATTTGGTGTTGTTTGCCTGTCTTGATATTTTTCTGTCTGTCTTAGAGTAGGGAATTGTATCCTTAATGCACATACCAGCCTATTCCATTTGTCATGGTAAAAAAAAAAACATTTGTAAACAAGCCAGTATGCATCCAGTAGACCTAACCCTCTTTAATGTAGACCCTCTTAAAATTATCGGTTGATGTTCCTTTTATGTATTATTTTGTATTATAGTTCCTTAGTACTTTTGCTCATGTCACCTATTCACTTTTAGGTTTTGTCAAATCAGTCCTCAATCTATTTATAAACCAAAGCACATATCCATCACTGCTTGATCTTTATAAAATTGACACGTCAAACTAAAAAGTATTATTTTCTCAATTTTGAAATGGTTGCAAATATGTTGTTACAACCACTAATTTTGTATTTAAAGGTTGATTGGTATAGCATGTTAAAATGAACTGTGACTTTCAAGCCCCTTAGTCCCTAAGTTACCCTAGTTTTAAATAGGCTTAAGTGTTTTTATGTGATTTCCAACGCTATTCAATTTACCTTGTGTTCAAGGTGCGTTTTTTATATGATGTTTTTATACCTCTTTTTAAAAAGTATTTTATCTTATACCATGTTGCTGTTTGAGTAGTTCTATTTCATGAAAAAATACCAATATTTTAAGGCATTTTAAAATGCACGTCACAAGTTTATACATTAGATTGTGTTCACCAAATTCGTTAACTTATATTTTATTTTGTTTAAAAAAAAATTTTAAGCTAATAAATTTGTGGAAGTATTAAAACCAGACTTGTAAATGAGGTTTAATAACTTTGTCATAAATTCCAGGTTGGTAAAAGTTTTTTGTTTTATTTCATTCCTAACGGGAATTGTTTTTATAGACTTGGATTTCTATATCAAAATTTGAGGTTAGTTAATATTTTTCTTCACAAGAACATTGTATATTCGTTATTAGACTTAGTTGTTTGTTCAAAGCTAGATTTGGTGTACAGTACCATTTTATCATCAGTAATTTTAAGTGGTTTTGTTATTTTTCTAATTTTGTGAAGGTAAAAAAATCACTGCAATCAAAATAGAAAGCCATAGAAGGAAAATTCTGTGTATCTAAAAATGTTAAATTCTAGTAACTACAAAAAGTACAACACTTTAGTATAAGGAGAAACAAAATTATTTAAATTGTATAGGTTGATAATTATTTAGTATAGAAGTACAACACTTTAGTATAAGGAGAAAGAAAATTATTTAAATTGTATAGATTAATAATTATTTAGTAAAGGATTATGTAATGCAGCCTTACTCAAGGATATACAGTGGTTAAATGTTTACTCTTCATGAAGAAATATATCGGAATGTCTGGTAAATATGGAGGATGATGAGTTCTACAATTCTAGAGGTGTTTTATACAAAACAAACAAAAAATGACAGGATTGTTGAGGGAAACAAATCTAAAAGTGCATTTGTTTAAAAAAAAAATTAAGATTGGATATCACATAATTCACAATAATTTTAAAAAATTGAGGAATTCACTATAATTTAGAAGAATTGAGAACAACTATAGCCTTAGCCACAATTGACATAGCACAAAGGATAATTTAAAATTGTAGGTTTGAAAAATACAATTTTTCAGATCTAAATCATTTTTTTCAGTTTCCGACCTAAGATTGTTTTGCCTATTCACAATTGCATTTTTCATTCACAATTTCAGCTTAACAGATACCTCTACAAATTCCAGATATATCTAGGTTACTAACTAAGTACTAACTTCAGGGAAGGGCAACTTACATAATTTATGTACAGTATAACCTCAATAATCCAGGGATTAACTGGGCGGGGAATTTAAATGATTATACACTGACCCCTTTTTCATCATTGAGAGTCACTAGATTCTGGTTCCTTCACTGGAGACCAGTGATGTGACCTCAAAATGTTTTCCTGTTTGTTTTCTTTTGTGTTGCTTTTGTGAAGTGGGTGCCTACAATTTTTAAGGTAAGCCTGCTTATCCTGTTCTTTGTCTCTTTAATTCTCAGGCAAATATTTCAAAGGCAATAAGCCCTTTCCAATCAATCCTATTTAACCTTACTGTGATAAAACAATCAAAGATCACATAACTTATATTGTCACAAAGTTAAAACAAGTTTTCTCTAAAACTTTTAAATCTGTACAGGTTATAAAAACGACTCCTATATTATAAAGGTTATAAAAACAATATAATTGATGTAGAAACAAAAATCACGTCATTAGCATAATAATAATGGAAATACAATCACTCGAGCTTGTAGGCTAGGCTTGGCTCCAAAATTGAGCCCTTCACACCCCTGACAAGCTTGCTCCTCCCCTTTAGCCTCCCAAAGTTTTTGACTATTGCATGGATGCAGTATTTTGCTTAGTATCTTACAAACTGGTTGAGATGTGAATGTTTGTAGAATTGGAAATTTAAAAACATCAACTTCCAGACCAAAAGATGCACTTGTGTTGAATTTTAGAGTACTATCATAATTAGACCAAATGTATCCATCCAAATGTTTTGGACACCCTGTATACTGTTTCAACATTTCTCATCAGTTAAATGAGGTGATTTGCAAATGTTAGACAATTTCTAATAGTGATGGGTCGGTTGTCCAAAGGCGGACGCCCGACCATTGTGACTGATGGAACTGGTCACAAAAGTGAATGAAAAGGTTCGCCAAATCGCCAATTCACGATAACAGAGCTTTCGCTTTGTTGTGTTACAATTTCAAACAACAAAGTCCGTGAAACTTAAGGGAATCAAAGCGAAAACTCCGTTATCGTGAATCGGCGGTTTGGCGAACCTTTTCATTTACTTTTGTGACCAGTTCCATCAGTCACAATGCTCGGGTGTCCGTTCTTTCACTTCGTCATGACTCATGAGGATTAATTCGACCATTTTTAAACTTAATGCACCATTTTCGCTCGGAACTTTTATTCATTACCATGTTTCTGTAAACTTCACACACTTGGCGATAAATGTCTATTGGTTTTAAGTTTATTGCCAACAAAAACCGAATCACTAAACGCACCTCACAACTGGTGGGACTTTCAATTGCAACGCACATTTTAAGTAGAAATTGCAAAAAATGGGCAACGCGAGGATGTTCCTCTTGTCACAACTGGACGCTGACTGAGTTGCCGAGTGCGCACGCACGAAATTGTAAGAGATCGAAGTGCGTCTTGCAGTGTCAGAATGATGTTCGCCCCACGCGGGCAAAATGATTGCTCAGTAACCGATAAAAACCAACTTTAACAACTGACCCATCCCTAATTTCTAATGCTACCAGTACACTCTTGCCTAGGTGTTCGCTTAGGAGCTCTTGCCGAGGTGCTTGCCGAGTAATTCGGGCGAGAGATCGGCATAGATCGCATGCGAGGTAACCATGTTCACTCTTTTTTTGTCTCGCAGTTGAAATGGTGGCCAAATTGGATGTAGAAATTGCTGCAATTACTTTTGCATTGACCAATCGAGAGTGAACTGGGGCGCCTCTTGCAGTCTCGGGTCCTTTGACTTGTGCTAAAAAACTGACTTCAGGATAGCGCGGGTTGTCTAGGCACGAGAGTAGGCAAGCACAAGACTACCCGAGTCAGGGCGAGAGAACTAAATACACTCTCGCATTCGCACCCGCTCGCCTTGTCTTGGTGAGAGTGTACTGGCGGCATAAAAGCTAAATGTTTACCTAAATGAGCTGGAATTGGACAAGTAAAAAATTCAATTTTTACCACATTATGATAAGTAAAAGTGAAGTAAAAGAAATGTTTAATGGTTTTTTTACAGGAAAAACAGCTGAGGGTGCTATTTTTGTGTTAAGGGTATAAATTTAAAATTTTTTTTTCCTTGTCTAGAAGGGATAAAAGGTCCCGGAACCCCTAGCAAACAGGGAATTGGAGAGAACCACAATACAACTAGTCCATCTGGAGTCAATCGTAGAACAGCTGTTCTGTTCACTCGCAAAGCTGCTGCTGCTACAAGTAAACTACAAAAAACTGATGACCTTGCCAACCCAGCTGGACAGTAAGTTGATTTATACATCTATTTAAAACTTCTCAGTGTGGTAACACAATATAAATACTACGATAAGTCGGTTTGGAGGTTTATTAATTATAGAGCATTTGTCAGTCCTAAAACTCGATCAGAAGGGCATGGTGGTCGGAAGGGTTCCCGGCTTGAGAATTGCTGTTGTGGGAACAAGAAGTACAATTAAAACTGAGACTTATAGCATGTTTTCCTTTTTATTTCTTATATAGGGTGTCCCACAAAGAGGTTGCTATTTTTTTATTAATATACCAAACAAAATGTATGAAACACGCTTTAAACTTAAATCTTCAAAGTTGCAACCAATTTGAAGCACTAGCTTATAATGTTTCCCACATGTGAAGGAAAGATAAAACTTACTATTGGATTTTTTCAAATCAGGGAGTTTGTACTATTTTTTTGTTTCTAAAAAACAGGTCTGGGTAGCAGCAAGCTTCTTATTTTTTTATTTGACAGTAGCAGCTCTATGTTTTCCACAATTTTAACAGATTTTATCAGTTTGGTTTGATTTGATTATTTAGTATACTGTATTCATAACGATAAAAAAAATATACATAATATACAGAATGATTATAAAATATTTACCCTTGTTTATGTTCCTACTCTATATCTCTCTGTTTTTTTTTTTTTTTTTTGGTTTTTTTAAGTAGGTCTAGTCTATTAAATTCTGACATATACTCATATTTGTGCTGTTGTGTTCTCAAATAAATAACAATTGGTACAAAGACTTGTAACATGGTTTTGTCCATTTTAGGAGCACTCCCCCTGTAAGAAGAAGAGGTAGGCAGCCAAAGAAACACCTACAGAACTCTGGTTTGTTGGATTCCAGCACAGAAACAGTAACAATGTCCAGTTCAGTACAACCAACAAAGGACAGCTTCAGTGTCTATCGCAGTGGAGGAGGTAAGTTGTAGAAATATTATTTTGACAATCATTTCTGAAAATGAATTGCCCTCGTATTTTTAATAAAAGTAAAGTTTGAGTTTACAAAAATGTATTGAAATCTGTGAAATATAATGTAATCCGTTAAACTTAAAACGTGATTTTGTTTAATTTTCTTACAGTTTTCATTCAAATGTAACAGAGTGTGTGCTTCTTGTATATTCTTATAAATTGTAGGCATTTTAAAATTAAAGATAATGATTATTTAGTTTTACTCATTTAATATTGTGTATTAATTATGAAAAAAATATTTGATTTGATAAATTAAATAGGAAGAAATCCCCTTATTTTAATTGGCCTTTTAGAATCACATGGCCTTAACACTTTGACCCATCTCAGTACCGATCTTTTGATACTGTCCAAGATGAATGAAAAGACAATGTATATAGCGGGGCTTAAATGTATTAAAACCGAAAGAATTCTAAGACTATGACAACTAAGAGCATAATGCTGTTATTTCTCACAACAGACATCCGTGGAGAGACAGATGAAGAATCACACTCAGATGGGGAGTCGAGCTGCTCAGTTTGCTCGTCCAGTGATGAGTCGAGTGGCAGCGGCAGTGACAGCGGGAGTAGCTACGAGAGTGACTCTGACGAGTCGGTAGTCTCGGCCTCCGTCCCAGCTGAGAGTGAAGCCTTGGAACAGCTACAGCTGGTGTGGGCCAAATGTAGAGGATACCCTTGGTACCCTGCCCTGGTAGGTTATTAATTTTAACATTCATACTGTACCACCAACACTGATGAATTGAAATATGTAAAGGTTAATATACCTTGTGCGGGGATCGAGCTGGCGTAGTGGTTAGAGCGCGGGACTTCAGTCCCTGAGGTCCCGGGTTCGATCCCCGCCATGTCCCCAATGGATCTTATCCAAGTGATGATGCCGCAACCCCTAGGTCTAGCCTGAAGTAATGTGAAAAACAATCCCAGGCTCGTGCCTAGCGTCCTAGGACAAAAAAAAATATTTACCTCGTGCGTCTTTATTCTGTTAGGTTATCCTTGGATAACTAGTTTGGGGTCGAGTGACCCTTTGTCAAATCTGAATCAAATTGAGAGTTTACATTAAAATGTTTGTTAACACACCTATATTAACATTGACATATTGACAATATGGACAGTATAAACTTCAACAAAAGACATTTGATCATTAGGATTGCCACACTTAAAATCAAAACAGACCAACACAGGTTGTAGACGGACACACTATCCGTTGTCCAGTTATGTCGATATGTACATAATATATATATATGTAGACAGACTACAACTGTGGTCTAGTTTAGACGAAATTCACTATGTAAACTAATCTTTGGTATCTCCAGGTATATTTTTTTATTTTTAACATTGATTTTCCCATAAAATCCTATAAAATAAGTTACCAGGAAAATTGGATTTTCACGGCAAGAACGGCCTAAATTATTTTGATTTACATTTGTCTTATGGTCCTTTAAACTCCAAACCAAATGGTACAACCCCCAAAGCTGTGAAAATTTCGGTTCAAAGTTATTGCATGTTTTCTGATTTTACTAATAAAATATCATAGTTACTCTCACCGCTTGTTAGATAAATAAATATGTTTATTTGAATAATATAAAATAAGATCTTTAAAATAAAAAGAGCTTTTTAATGGACTGTAAATTATAGTATAATAACAAAGAAAACAATGAATAGAATGGATGTAAAATAAAATATTTACAAATGCAAATTTCAACATAGAAGAAATTAGTACTGATGGCACAGAGTATCAAACCCCACTTACCCATTATAAGGGTTGTTGACAGGCTAGTGGGAGAAAGTATGACTGATACCATTTATTTATTTATTACATTTAGATTCAAACTTATATCTCATTTAAATTCACGTTAATCACAATTTTTTTCTTTTTATTTGCTTTGTTCTTTTTTAAAACTTTAGTCTCTTGAGTGAGTCCCAAAATTTTATTTTTGTTTCTCTTATTATTAATATTTTTTATGATTCCAGATCATAAACCCTAAAATGCCTCGAGGTTATGTTCACAACGGTGTGCCAATTCCCTCACCGCCAGCAGACGTACTTGCTCTAGCCAACAACTATACAGAGCCTGTGTACCTAGTCCTGTTCTTCGACACGAAACGCACTTGGTAAGTTTTCTAGTTTAAATACAGAGTGAACAACTTAACTGTGCCACCATTAGCATCTCAGAAAATATTAGATGTAGAGTAACTAAAAAATTGTTTTTACCTTTTGTCTACAGCTCAATAAGTTGTAACTTCCGTTACGGCCGTTTCGGCATTAACATGCCATCATCGGACGTCTTCGGCTGAAGCAGCGTCGTCACAGTAGAAACATATAACACGAACACTGTGTTTCAAGTAACATATATATGTGTAATATAATAATATATATATAATATATATGTAATATATATATGTTTCTACTGTGACGACGCTGCTTCAGCCGAAGACGTCTGATGATGGCATGTTAATGCCGAAACGGCCGTAACGGAAGTTACAACTTATTGAGCTGTAGACTAAAGGTAAAAACAATTTTTTAGTTATATCACAGCTCAGGGGCTAAAAATATGGATTTTAATGTAGAGTAAACTTTAAAAACACTTTTACTTGTGACATTTTTTCTCTTTAGCCTACTCGTTTAGGAACTAAAACATGTTAAACTTTGGAAAAGGTGGTTCACATTGCATCTTAATTAGGCTAAATGACATGGCGAGCCAATGGTGAAATCCCTCATTAAAATTTGTCCCTACATCTAACAGTTTTTTAGATACTAATCTTGGCACAGTTAAAGTTGTTCGTCCTGTATATGTTTAATGTGAGTATTTTTGCTAAATCTTTTTTTCTAGCACATTCTCCTCTTTTTTAAATGGCTATCAATAATATCTTGAGCATGTTTTATTTTATGCGTTTTTGCAGGATAGGTGGGAAGATGTGTATAAACAGAGGTAGCCAGACTATAGATTAGGACTCATGCAGGTTTAAGACCCACAGAATACCCACCTGCTCTGCTATTAAGACACTTGCCTGGGAACACTTGTCACTCTTCATCAGAACTTGGCTGAGTTTAACATGACCTAGATTAGATTGTAGTGATGGTCGGATCCGGATATCGGACTACCGGATCTGCCGGATCCGAGCTAGAACTGGCGTCCGATCGGATAAAAAAAATACGGATCTTGGGCTGGATCCTGCTTTGATGGATCCGATTTTTGATGAATCCGATTTTTCCAATTTTTGTTTACTAACAAAAAGCTGTCTGTATCCATGTAGGACTATCTGTGTCTGTGTACAAGAAGACTATCTGTGTCTGTGTACAAGAAGAATATCTGTGTCTATGTACAGGAAGACTCCTCTAAAATAAGGCAACTTTAAATCAGCAGCAAGTTTTATTATATCCAAACTACTTAATGGTTTTTCTGAGTCTTTCAATTATTTCCTATGAGTACATTTTTTTACTTTTACTACCACATCCGGTATAAGGTCTCAAATAGAGTCGCTTACCACTTTTATTTTTCCTCTTGCAGGCACATTTAGGATTTTTTTATTTTTCCCAACAGGTTTTTTCTTTCTTATTTGTTTTTTAACTTTTTAAGTCTGCCCTTTTCCCCAACCTCAAGATCGAAGGATGGTAAAATATACACAGATACCCTTTTTGTGGTCGTGCAAACTTAGCACAATGTTTCATTTTATGATTTTGAAAATTTTTAGTGTCCCCCAAAAATGAGGGATTTTGGGCTCAACTGGAGATTATTCTACATATGAGATATATTAAACTTTAAACATTACCAATTTAATTTTAAACAGTATAATTTAAATTGGCATTCTGTTCATTTAAAGTTTTTTTTTCAACCCACCCTTATGACATTGTGTATTTGGATCCGAATTTTTTAAGATCCGGATCCGGTACCGACATTTTCTTGGATCCGCCCATCACCAGCATGACCAGAAGTCCTAGTTGTCCTCACTTTACACCATACTCTTGCTAACAGATTTAACTGACAGTACCCCAAGATGTTTTTAGAGTGGCCTTCTAGGGAATCGTATCCCAACAGGGTCAGCAAAAGAACGTGTGTTCCACGCCGTTGGATCGCCCCCGGTACCATATATTGACAATATTGCTCGCTGTTGTAAGAATTATATTTAATAACCCTTATGTGACGACAAAGTTTGATTTGATTCAGAAACGTGATGTATGATATTTGTTTCAGGCAATGGTTACCACGAAACAAACTGGAACCATTGGGCGTAACTCCAGAACTCGACCAAATCAAGCTTGTAGAGTCACGTAAACCAGCAGATAGAAAAGCTGTAAGAAAAGCTTATCAAGAAGCTTTAACTCATCGAACTCAAGTTGATAAAAAAGAAGAAGAATCTAAAACTGAGGACGGAAAATGCAGTGCCAATTAAATGTCAGTAACAATATGATTAGTGACATTTAAAATATTAGGGATTGTAATTCAAATGCTTCTGCCTCAGAAAACCTGCAGATTAAAAAAAGTTTCCATTTGCCTGATTAGATTTTAACACTAATACAGGGTGCAGCAAAATACTGATCTATTTTCTGCAGCACACTGTCCAACGACAGGTTGTCTGAGGGTGTTGTGGAAAGGCCCGTTGGAAAGCCTAAACACTGCCATTATCTGTAGTCATAGAACAGTGGTCACCTGAGCTAACTATGTTTGTCACTGAGTCGTTTAAAACGACTAATGATTCGGTCATTGCAACTCAGCTGTAGTTCCGTGCATTCTTTCATTAAGGGCAACATAGAACGGTTCCATTGCGATTATCTGTTTGGATAATCAACAAAATTAAACAGATTAATTCAAATTATTCTTTTTGGATGAAAATTAAAATCTAACCTCAAAATTTGTGTAACTGAGCTATCAGACATGTTCAAAGCAACCGCTTGTTTTCAGGCGGGCCTACAAAGTCTGTTTTCCACAGCAGCACGAACTCTATCAAATGTTAGTTGTCTGGCGTCTGGTCTGACTGTGGACTGTCACTACATTTTGAACGCAGAAGCCTTTGTTCTAAAGTTAGTAACCCACCGCATGATTGTGCTACGCGACAGAACTTCTCGATGTCACCATAATTAAAAGAATGCATAAACTGCCACTGAGTTGCAATGACTGAATCATTACATTTTAAATACGACTTGATAACAAACACACGTAGCTCAGGCAACCACCGCTCTATGACTAAAGATAATGGCAGTGTGTATGCTTTCCAACGAGCCTAACCCCACCACCCTCAGATGACCTGTCGCTAAACACTGAACAGAATGCTGAAGAAAATAGATTGGTTATTTTTCCGCACTCTGTATATCCTAAAAAAAATGTACATTTCTCAAATCAAAAGAGAAGCTATTAATCTGAATAGGTGGTTTGCGCGAATCAAATTAGTTTGTAGCCTAGATAATTTGACCATGTTGTTTATTAGTAAATTACCTTAGTTTATTTAGCTCCCTTATTTGGTTTACATAACTTCTTTGTTGGTGAAAGTGATGACACTATTGTAAATACAAATAAGACTTTAAGTGTAAATCAGCCCACTCACTCACTAAGTATTTTATACTGGTACCTATGCATGTTACTATTTAATAACGTTAGTTTGATAATTGTTTTGTTGTACAGTAATATTATTTATTTTTTAACATCTCTTTGTAACGTTTTATTCTATTTTATTTTACAAATGACCCTCTGATTTTGCGTTTCCTTGTTATATCAAGCATCAATGGTCAATTAGTCTTGTGCAGATTGGACTCTAAACCTCCCATTAGTCTGAGTACCTGGGGACCGAGCTTTGCTTGGGAAAATCATTAGTATATTCTAGAGCTGTGTGGTATAAAATATCCCAACTTATTTTATCTTTTAATGTTTTAATATGTATTTAGGATTTTAAACATAGTAAATATATGATACCTCTGCTGATGCAGATGTGTAGACTAAGCGAATTTCCAATTGTTTAGTTAGATTCTTACTAAATATTCCTGAAAATTGATTGATTTATTTTCTCTTTAAATCATATTGATTTTAATGAGTAGGCCTACTTAAGTTTTATGCCTCAGGGAAGGTTATAAAGTGTGTGTTTTTTTTTTGTTTTTTTTATTGAAATGTTAATAACTTAGAACAAAATAAATAAATTCTCAAAATGTGATAAAAATATATCCGTAAACAAGCAAACTACAACAGTTTATTTATAGCAGAAGTTTTTTTTTTACTCTTATGTTACTCCCCATAAGAATAACAAGGGTATTTTAAGTTTAAAGTTTTTTTTTTTATTTTCCCGGTGAATATTAGATGTATAAAAATGCTTTAGCATGCTAAAATAGTTTTTTTCAGCTCTTCAAAGTGATTTGGAAAGAGATTCCAAGATTTTATGTTTTGTCGGTAAAAAAGTGAGAAAATCCAATTTTTACCCTATAAACCCCCACGAACCCCGTTCCTTTGGTCCAATCCTGAAAACTCGTTTGAATAAACGTTTGTTCAAATGTTTATACAAAATTTCATAAAAAAATTGGATGATTTTACACAAGTTATTGTAGTGTTTCTGAGATAGGTCTCTTTAATTAAAAATACATGCCAATTTTCATCAAGATCGCCTGATAACGTTAAACGTTCAAATCAAATATAACAATTGTTGTGTAAAAAATTCCAAATGGCAGATAGCTGGAAAACGTAGGGTTTTGTTGGAAACAATTTTATACCGATACTTGATTTTCTATTCATTCATAGGGGGTTTACAAATAAAAAAGGAAATCGTAAACAGTGGTCTGTGTTTGTGTGTGTGTGGGGGGGGGGATGTGTACTTCATTACATCTGTGGTCAGATTTTGATGAAATTTGGTATGTTGGTACTAATCTATGTTATCTCCTGGTGGTTTTTTCAGTGATTTGAAAGTTTTCAATGGTGATTCTCTCATAAAATAACGCCTATAATGGTTAAAATTGGTAAATACAGTAACATTACGGTAAAATTGGATTTTCACAATAACGGTTTGAACGATTTGTTAAACTAAAATTTAGTATGCTATGGTTCTTAATTCTTATCCAAATAATAAAATCCACATTGCTGTAAAAATTATGGTCCAAAAATTATTACAACTTTTGTAATTTTATACATAAAAAACCTGTACTTACTCTCACAGCTTCTTCATAATAAACTTTCTTCTAGATAATAGAAGAAAGTATGTGTCAGATTGCTGATACCATTTATTTATGCTGTGTTTGACTGAGTTTAGTATGTTATATGTACTGTATTTATTTTTTAATCATCCTTGACAGGGGCGTAGCCATCCCCATCCCTTTCTGAGATAAAAAAAGAAAAATAATAACACTATAATTTGAAATTACATTGAGACCTATGATTCAAATCACACAGTGCTGCAATACATCATAAACATTGTAAACTGATAAGCATACAAACATGTCTAGTAATTTGAACAATCTATTCAATTCCTTGCTTGCCGCGCCCAGGTCTTCTGAGAGATAGTAGTACTATTACTGGAAATGTCATATTTATTAGCATACGGGTTGTGTCAACTATCCTCGCCACCCTCGTGAAGGCCCTAAAAAATATTTGATGTATTTCACCAGTTCTGTTCTTATTTCTGACCAAGGCATATCGGCATATATATAGACCTATTTTAAATAACACTTTGGTAAGTTAATTTCACGAACACCCAGATCTCCCATTATGGATCCCCCCTCAAAACTGTTTCTGGCTATGCCTCTGATTAATGATAATTTTCACCAATCCAGCTGTTCTGGCTTGATGTAGATGTTAAATGTGAAATAAACAATGTATTGGTTGTTGCCTATCCCTAGGTGTTTATGAAAATAAAACTCAATCATGCCATGTTGATACACTATTTAATATCAAACGTTTATAGATATAACTTTTTTGTACATAGTGTAAACGTTTAGAAGTAAAACCCCAAGTTTGCATGATAAATTGCAAGTACTGTATATATATACTATAAATAATATGTAATACGTAAAATGTGATATTTTCCTAAAATAAACTTTTACTATCACTGTAGAACTAACTGGATTTATTTATCTTGCCTTAATAAAACAATTGGAAGTTTATATTGTCGAGTATCTAATGTTTTCCTGCAGTAAACATAATGAAATGGGACACTTCTGAAGGAAAGCGAAACTTTATCTTGGTTATAAATTATGTATGTTTACAAACCAATGCAAAGGTTTTAGACCTAGTTGATATATATTTCTGTTGCTCCAAGTGACTTGCTCTTTGGCCTAAATGTGTATTTTATATTTTTCAATACTGTTAACATGTTGAAGATATTTCTTTTCATAGCGTTCTTTTGCTTGAGTGATATAGTACGCAGTCAGACTGTTTGTGACTGTGAGGATGTTTGGGTAGTGCCAGTTGACATTAATCAGGTAATTGCTACATTATTGCCTTTATATGTTCAGAACTAAATCTTAGTGAACTGAAGTCCTGTTAGGTGTATTTTACTTTTCTCCCTTTAACATTCTGTACATCTAAAAACAATTACACCAAGCAATTCTTTATATTTTAAAACTAACTTGATTTATTCTAGCGAGTGATTTTAATTTTTGAGGGGTAATAATACAATAAATACTATCTGTCGTTACCATTATCTTGGTTTATTATCTAAGTAGGCCTACACAGTAATTGAACATACAAATCCTCGTTTATTTAAATACAAAATAGAGTATCAAGGGTAAACTATGCCCCTTCAAAGAGATACTAAGGGAAAATTATGGAAGGAGAAATTAAGGAAAAACTGATAATAGTAATAAATTACAACAACTAGGTAATGAGTAAAAACAATGATTATGGGTTTGTTTGGGCACGTTTCAAATTAGCAATGTCCTGTTGCATTACCCCATGCATTACCCCATGCCCATCTAACATCTTTTATTAGCCATAATATAATAAAACTTGTTAGGTAATTTTTTTCAGTAAAATAGAATTTTAATGGCTTAAAATTAAGATTTAACTAGCATAAAAGAAGTATGAATGTAATGAAGGTTCACAGTGACTTTTTCAATGGTTCAAACAACAATTCTTAAAATTTTAAAAACTTTATAACAACACTTTTTTTTAGCTTTTAAATTATTTTCTGCAAGGAAATGTCATATTCTGTATATAGGCAAGAATGCATTGTAAGGTCGTAAGTTCACCAAATACCTTTTTAAATTACTAATAAATCAAGTGTATTTAAAAAGATAAGCACAACAACAAAAATGGATAATCATACCTAACAGTTTGTTTATTAAACCCACAGTCTGTAAAAAGAATAAAATTAATTCAATAAAAAAACACTGGTCAAAACTAATTTTTAATAATGATACTATAGTAGTATCATTAACATTTTCCCAGGTGATTCGCATACATAGAACTATAAACATGGAACACTGAGTCAATGCAGCGAAAATAAGCCGGCCATGGCAGGGCTCCCCCACCACTAGTAAGTGGACAGCGCGACACAGTCCCATGTATTACAATGGGCGCGTAACGTTTTCAACACATTTTGTCAGATTTACAGACAATTTCGTAATTAATTAGAACTTGATTGTGGTGTTTTATTGTTGTGTGATGATTCCTTTGTGTCATAGTTGAAAATACACTTAGTTTTTCAGAGTAAGATTTATTGTTTGTTGTGCAATGCCACACATGACATGAAATGCACCAGTAATGCGGCACACGGGCTAGGAGCATGTGCCGCATAGTACACTCTGTACCACAACACTGACTTGTGGTGGGAGAGCCGAGTAGGGCCGGCTCGTTTCCAAGTGCCTAGCGCAGCTTGAGTCGGCATTCCACTTTTTGTAGTTCTATGGTCGCATATGAAACTTTTTGCCTCTCTAGCAGCAAAACAATTTATACATTCTTAGTAAAACAACCCATAAATTTAATCACAATACCCTATAATATACTCTGTTGTAATACAACAATATGTAATACAACAGAATTTTTACAGTTTTTTTTAAGGGATATTCAAAATCTATTCAAATATTTATTGTGGAAGTGCGATGTAAATTTTTTATTAATGTTTATAGTTTTATGGTACCTTGGTTGAGCGCTCTAGATGATTTTACCGAGCTGTTGCTATTTTACCTAGCCCTAATTGTAAAAAATTACTTTCATGTCTACAAAGAACCAGTAACCAGCTTTTTACTGTGTGGTGTAACAAAAAAAAATAACTTAAGACACATTATCTCAATGGGAATCAGGTAATAAGTTCATCTTTCTTTAATCAGGATCTCTTGTATTTTCATTGTTGTTCTTTAACAAAAATAATCATCAGCTTGCAGAAGCAGACATCCTCTATAGCCAGGTTTCTTCGACAGCAACCCAGCGTCTTTTGATAGACAATGTCTGCTACTCACAAGAATTGAATGACGATGGTGTCCTCAACGTGGGGATGTCTATTACATAGTAAGTTATTTTCCTATCTTCCAGGTAATAGTTAATCAAATAACATCAAAATTGTATTCATAATGCACATAGTTGTACATAATTTACTAATATAAAGTATATTATTTGCATAAGACAAGAGTATTGGTATATAGTTATTTAAGTGTGAGTCACAAAAAGTTATTTAAATCATACAAATTCTTTGATAGTAAGGAATAATTTTAATTTTAAAATGTTTTATTATCTAATTTTCCTATAGGGGCAGCTATTACAGTAGGTGGCATGGTAAGACCTAGGCCCGGGACCGACTTACTTTTTCATTTTGATATCACCGGAGGTCAAAAACACCATTCGTTCAATTTTGTATATATACAGGGTGAGTTTTTTAAAGTGATCCAATAGCTAACTTTTTAATTACAGGACTTAGCACCTCACTTTAAATTTGAAACTTGCTCAGTTTTAAGTTTCACTCAAGAATACGATTTCAGATTTTTTCATTGTGGCCGCCATTTTCCAATATGGCTGCCAACTTTAAAATTTCTTAAGGAACACCCTGTATTTTATTTTGTTTTTAGATTTTACTCTAAAAAATAAAACATTTTTGTTCTTGACATTTTTTCAATATCTCTAATAGTTAAGGAGCTACGAGGACAAATTGTTAAGTATTAACAGTAACAACACTTAAAACTAACATTGTTTTAAAACATGCTTTAGAATTCATGCAACTTTGTATGAAAACTTTAAGTCCTCGTAGCTCCTTAACCGTTAGAGATATTGAAAAAATCTCAAGAACAAAAATGTTTTATTTTTTAGAGTAAAATCTAAAAACGAAATAATATACAGGGTGTTCCATAAGAAATTTTAAAGTTGGCAGCCATATTGGAAAATGGCGGCCACAATGAAAAAATCTGATATCGTATTCTTGAGTGAAACTTAAAATTGAGCAAGTTTCAAATTTAAAGTGTGGTGCTAAGTCGTGTAATTAAAAAGTTAGCTATTGGATCACTTAAAAAAACTCACCCATACAGGATTTCTATAAAATAATGGTGCGGTTTTAACATCCTGTAAAACTGTTATAAGACAAATAAAATAACTTATGTTGGTATCCCTGTATCCAGTAGCTCATTCTTATGCTATTCAAAACACTTCTTATTCAATAAGTTGAGTTTTTTTCAACCAACATGTTTTCAGATGAGGAAAAAGCTAAGTGAGTATTGTTATTAAGTGAGTTAAAGTCTGTGACTTAAGTGCAACGGGCATTTTAAAGAACATTCAATAAAGCTCCGCCTCATAAAAACAACATTAATCGTTTGGAGTAAGCAATTCATAAACACTGGGTCAGTTAAAAATCAAAGTAGACCTGGTAGACCACCAGTATCTAACCAGACAGTTGAAGACATCAGATTATCTTTTGTTAGAAGTCCAAAGAAATCCCTCCCTCGCCGTAGCCTTGAATTAAAAATACCTGTAGGCTAAGTACTCTTCACAAAGGTTTACACAAAAGACTTTGATGCCTACAAAATTCAACTTCTTCAAAAAATAAAAACAACAGATTTTATAAAAAGAGGGGGATTCGCTACATTTATGTTGAACCAAATGGCAGAAAATGAATAATTTTTTAATGAAGTAGTTTTTTCAGATGAAGCCACATTTCACATCAGTGGTTGAGTTAATAAATTTTGAAAAGGAAAGAGACTCGCCAAAAATAAACGTTTGGTGCGGCCTGTCCAGAGAAGAAGTAATTGGGCAATTTTTCTTCGCAAAAAAAACTATCAATGGAAATGTTTACTTGGACATGTTAGAAAACTATTGTTTTCCTCAACTTGACGACTTGGAAAATGTAAACAGCCTTTATTTTTAGCAGGCAAGATTAAGTTCCCAAATAGGTGGAATGGAAGAGGCAGTCCTATAACATGGCCTCCCAGGAGCCCGGGCCTGACTCCATGCGATGTTTTTCTTTAGGGTCATGTAAAGAACATAAAATTCACAATTTGGACCACCTAAGGGAAAGAATCATTCATACCGTACAGTTTCAACGGTGACAAAAGAAATGTTGCAAAATGTGTGGGCTGAAGTAGATTATCGTTTGGACATCTGCAGGGCAAGGAATGGTGGCAATGTTGAGCTTTACTAGATATAAAATCTTTTTAATGTAAGGAATCCAATAAAATAAATAGTTTTTTGTACCTCTTCTCACTATCTTTTATTTTCATAATCAAACCGCACTATTATTTTATGGAAAACCTATATATATTTATAGATTTAATTAAGTGAAATAATAAAAACCAGAATACCCTGAAATTTATTTTTATTAAACTTATACGTATTTCGGCACTTAAGCTGGGTTTTCCTAGACGCGGAGAGCGGACTCCTCTTGTCTTAGGTAATTTAATGTTACTGTTTTCCTGTAGATAGATTTGCAGTTCTTCTTTTATATCCATTTTCACCCTTTTTCTCATAATTTAGAATTTTGACACATTCTTTTAATTTGCCATAATTATGATTGTTTTATAATATATGTTCTTATACATTGAACGTTGGGTTGGGATGTTTGATTCTACGGCTTGGATATGTTCTTTGAATCTGCATGAAAATGCTCATCCAGTCTGACCAATGTAGAATTTGGCACAATTCATACATTTATTTTAATTTTGTATATTCCAGATTTGTTATATTTTTCAATTGTATGTGGGTTCTTGTTAGATAGTTTTATTGATTAAATTGAATATGTTGTTTCTAGATCTATGGTTAATTTTAAATTTAGATGCTTGAAATGTTTTTCTGATTGGTTTGTTTGATACCAAACTTTACACAACGATATACAACACCCCTGGATTGAACCCGCTGCGTTCGCCCGGCGGTCCGGCGCTCCCCCCACCACTGCATGGCAAAAGACACTGCTGCCCTGCACTCACCACTATAAAACAAGTCCACGACGTAGGAAGTTGTGAAGGAAGTAATAAAGGCTGGCAGTGCAAAGTGTGGGAACTGTCTGTGGCAGTTAGATTAATGTATCTGCAATCTTAAAATGCTCTAGGAAGGGAGAGAAACAGGTCCACGACGTAGAAAGTGGTGAAGGAACTGAAGGAAGTAGTAAAGGCTAGCGGTGCAGAGTGTGGGAACATTTTTATATTGTATTATATCTATAAACATTTTTTCATTTATTGATTTATTAAAAACTATTAAACATGATTGCTCTGCTCAACTGGCTTTCACTGCTATGAAAGCAATCCTAGTAACAGGAGAATATCCCTAATTGCTTCTTGATACAGCTCTCAGACTTTTAGCTCCCTTGCAACTGACTTCCTTATAAATCTGTCAACAGATGCTTTGCGGTTTCTTCCCCTGATTGACAGAATTCACACTCTTCTTCTTGTACAGTAACAAAATGCACCCTCTGGCTGAATCAGTTCCTTATTACTTAACATCCTTCTGGGGTATTCTTTAGCAAGCATGGCAAGTTCTTTTATTGCCCGGACAAGGCTGCTTACTGGATGTGGTTGCTTGGTATCCGGCAGGTACCGTTTGAGACCACTCAAAAGGCCTGGTGCCATCCACCGATCCAACCTTTGGGACTATCCACATACAACATTGGGTTGGCCTGTAACATAACTAGTAAAAATTGAGGAGGGAACAGTAGGATAAGGATAGGTGAAGACTGAAGACAGTTAATCCATGTGTTTGGAAACTGAGGTTACATGGATTAACAGGACAGTCCCTGCTAAGATGAAGAGTAGGGAGACAGGAAAGCTATATGCGATGGACATGCCATTGGGCGGTGGGATCCTCAACTTCTACGCCATGGAAAAACTCTTATGTTATTCATTGTGACCCTTGGTTGGAATATATTATTGATCAAATAAAAGGATTACCTTATCCAACCACAGTTGCTAGTATGACAATTGTCATACCAGCAACTATTTTTAATCCATATTATTTTTAATCCAACCACAGTTGCTGGTATGACAACTGATTTTGGATGACAATTATTGTCATACCAGCAACTGTGGTTGGATAAGGTAATCCTTTTATTTTATCAAAAATTCTTACTTTATCTGCACAAATTACTTTATTTGCTGACTAATTGTGTTTTATTTTTCAACAGCCAAAACGGTTCAGTCGTCACAGCAAACGTTGAGCAGAGTCAAATTGAACCTGGAATCTTCCTGATATCTGGTACTTTTTATATTGAAAATTTAATACAAGAATCAATTTAGTTGATAAAATACATAGAGTTGGATTAGTTAGACGGTGCCACTTACTTTAACGATAAAATAAGTAACAGTTTAAAGTACTCCCTGCATAGGTGTTAGCATGTTAGCACATTTAGTTCGTCAGGGGATTTTGTTTTCAACCATACGACTATCTATTGTACGTAAACACACAAGCCTATTTTTGTTTTTCATCCTCACTGTGTGAACTTAACTGGGCTTTTATGGTACTTGTTAACCACTAATTTGGGATGCAGGTTTAATAATGGAAGTGAAAAAGCAAACGAGTTAGGGTACTTGGATGTCAGTGATGTCTTTCACCGTGAATGCTGTGTAACCACAAAGAGTGATGATGATTCATTAATTCGTTTTCATAGTAAAACAAGACTATATGGTTTTCAACATCATGAAAACTTTCTTCCGTATGCATATTCCCATCGATAGCCACACCTAATCTATCTAACAGTAGTTATTTATTATTTTTATTTTAATGATGGTTCAAACAACTTTAAATGCTGCTTCTGATAAGGCTCTTGCTCTTACATGAAAACATTTTGATTGAACTTCCAAGCAGGTGTGATTTCCCACTGAAAAGTAAGCTTTAAATACTTTTTTTTATATTTTGCTAATGTGTAACTGTTTTCCTTTCTCAAATTATTTGTTGATGACACAATATACTTGGTCAATGCCATATTTGTGTTTTCTGAATTTTTAAAAGTAATTTTCTTTTACTCTTTTGAGTAATTAACCTGCAACGTACAGACTATATGCTATAGGTACTTGTTTACAACTGCAGTCGATTTAAACAGGTTAAACCTTTATCTTTGTCTGAGAAAAAAAGTACAGAATTTTTGAAAGTCTGGCTAAAAAAGATTAAGATTAAGGTTTGGCTTTTAATAGCCAAACTGATCTGAAATATGTAGCTAACCAATGAATTAATTAATTTTTTATAGACTTTAGCATTCATTCTGACTTTTGACTTCAGGAGGAGCTGATTACATCGATTACATTATTGGGGAGCCATGTGACAGTGTGTACGTAATATATCGCTGCTTCTATAAACGACGTCGTAAGTAGAGTGATATTTCTTATTTAATCCTAAAATCTACGATATAACATGTGGTTATCAGAAAAGAGGTCAATTTTTAACACTGCTAAGATCAGTGTGGACATTAACGAATCAAATTAGAAGCAAGTACCATAATATTCTTTAAGCTTTAAACAGCTGTTTGTCCTGCAAGCTCGGGAACAGGAGCTCTCTTTAGAGCCTCAATGACGTCACCCTTAGTCGATACACAACCAATGTCCGGAACCTCAAATGATATCTTTGGTCGAGTTCACCGACAGTTTTCTGGCCGTTTACAACTGTCATTAGTTAGGCAGCAAAAGCAACTTTGTCTTTCAACTTACTCAGTTCAAGTAGGACATCCCTGTCCTGGGTTTGTCTAACCGACAAAGCAGCTGCTCATAGCCCCAGATGGTGTCTGCGTGAGTGACCCCTTTCAGGAACTTCCCTTAAGAGTTCCAACCACCACGGTCGGTCGTGACTTCACTAAAGTAGCCACTACGTTCGATAAGGCCCTGGGCGCAGCAGACAAAAGGTCTGTTTGGGTAGTCTTAACTTTAGCCTTAGTGGTCTGGTTGACTTCTCCCCTTTTTTGAAGACTTTCTGATGTCGAAGGCCTCCTGCGTTTCTCAAAATACGGCGCCAAATTGTTGGGCATGGACATCACCTACTCTGCAAATTTCTCCATGACCGCCTTACCCACCAGCCAGCAATCAAAGACGAAACAAAGGTCATCCTTGAGTTTGGCCTAGCCTGTTCTTGACCCCTTGATTTACACATTTCTGTGTCTGGAAGGAGTTCAGCGTTGCCTTGGTCTCCTCTATATTTTGGAGCCGGCTTTGGTTAAGAGAAATTCCTGACGCAGGAGCACCATACCCAAGCTCTCCAACTGCAGCATAGGTGTAAGGGGTTCCTCCGACATTCATGTCCTCTTCCCCAGCAAAGGTACCAACATTGTTTTTCAAGTCATCGTAGGGGGTGAACTAGAGACATGTCCTCCCTCTGAAACACCGCCACTTTTGACTGCTTGCCAAGCAAGCCCTACATCTGCTTATCTCACTGATTATCTCACTGTGACCACAAATTATTTGTGAGGATAATGTTAATACATGAGCCAAAAAAGCCAATCAAGTTATTAATCCCAATAGCTGTTTGATTGAATTATTCTATAGAAAATGTTTTTAATATATATCTTGTACTGTGACATGTTTTACCATTAACATTTATAATAGTATAGGCAACTTTCTAGCTAGCCTATATATAGTGAGTTTAACTATACTAATGTGAGATGTATTGGTAGCTTGCCCTACTGACGTGGATGGGATTATTGTCATCATTGAGTCTGCACGGCAATACGTGCCTGAACACTGCATCGAATGGGGCATTGAAATTACCGAGAGGCAGTTCCCAGGCATTCGCTTCTACGACTTGCCCAGACAACTCGATACATTCTGTGAAAATTGATTGTAAGATGATAAAAAAAACCATGCCTACCAACTTTTTTGTAAAAAATCTTTGTTTTTGTTATCGATAGGCCTAGTCATTTTTACCCTCGAATTGTTCATTAATATATTACTGGTTACGTAGATTGTTATTTATGTTAATTTTGATTTATATTAGTTTTAAAAATAATGTTTACTTGATTGTTTTTCAATCGTTGTTATACTTTGTATAAGTAAATTTTATACTTTTTGTTGACATGGTTTTTTAATGTATTGGCCTACTTTAAACACAATTATCACCAGTGCTTGGTTTGTAAAACATGAGGTGCCGGAACTTTAACCTATTTAATGTAATTAGTACCTACTAATGGCAATGTTTTTATCTTTCCGAAAGAGAGGTACCGGAACGCTGTTCCGCCACAAATCAAGCACTGATTATTACTGTAATGAAAGTGTGTGGGTACACGAAGTAAGTATTGAGTTGCACTTACTAGTTATTGAGTTGTTCATAGTTTAGAGTAAGATCAAAAAAGTAAAAATTAAAGACATATTTTTTATATATATATAGCGAGTCCCATGCCTCACTTTAAATTTAAGTTTCCTAAAATGTTACACTCGCTTAGCTTAGTGAAGAGGTGTTAGGTCAATGAGTCTATATTTTTTACAGATAAAAGTAAGGTCTGATCTTACATTCTATTTATGCCTAGTTTTTCCCTATATGTTTTATTAGGGCAAGTATTCTGTTAAACAGAAACTAGGTAAACATTTTACCTTTGATAAATTTATAGTTAGAATTTAACTAGTTAAACAAGTTTACAATAATTAAACATACTTCAAAGAAATAAAAAATACTAAAATTACTTTATCTATTGCATACGACTCAAGTGCCCCTGAAAGATTCTTTTATATGTTTTCCATAGAACATTTTTAATGGTTGTAAGAATAAATCAATTTTTGAAATTTAAAATAAAAAATTGGTTCTTAACATAATTAATTCTTAAAACTGGTAGTTTAGAGTCAATAACTGCATTAATACTAGTTTTAAATCACAGGAATAATCAAGTTCAAGCTCTAAAGAGCCCTTTACAGTCTGATAAATATAAGTGTAGCTGAATATTCAGAGAGACTAAAAAGTCCACTACTGATTAACCATTTGAATTTCATATTGATTATTCAGTCATTTAATCATGCCTATTTTTATCATGTTTCCCTTCATTTTATGAACAGAAATATACAAACTATATTATTACAAGTTTTTGTTGTTGAATAGATCCACTGTTGCCAAGTTGTGCCACGCACTCAGTCTTTGCCCGACAGATGACCTGTGCGTTTCGAGCATCCTCTTGTTTTGTCAAGAAATTGCCTTAAAGTGTGCTTATAATTCGAAACAGGCCAGTAACAAAGATATGCAAGGCATCTCACTCCATTCTACACTCATCCTTCACTCATATTTAGGTAAAAATACGCTCATAGGTGGCGTCCCCATCTCAAATGAATAATTAATACGGAAGATTGTATCCTCTTCATTTCCATGTTAATTTTGTTTCATGTATCAAACAATAAGCAGAGCAATATTTTTGATTTTTAGAACTGCTAAACAAATTATTTGGTCATATAAATTTACTGTTAATAACTGTTACGGTGATTATTGATTCAATTTAAATTTATTAATTTTATGTTTATATATTTTTCAAAAAACTGCATCTGGTAGCTGTTTTAGCCATTTTAAACACAACTGTGAAGCAAATAATCAAACCATAATAATGTGAATGAATTTTGTGTTCTATACGATAAAAAAATATGACAATACTAACCGCGATACCACAAATAACAAATAAATTATTAATTTGTAGTGTTGCACTACAAGTGCCCTACAAGTGGGAAGATAGAGTCGGGGGGGGGGGGGGGGGGGGTGGGGTGCCGACTACACTAGGTGAAAGTCAGCTCACCAGCCAAGAACGACGTGGCAACGTCGCATCCCCTACCTCTTCAAAGGCCAGTTCTATATCTATTGGACTAGTGGCCAGCACTGAAGAAATAAGCGAAATGCATGATTTGAGGTGCATGTCACAAAGAATATATTCAATCCTGTTGACAAACACAAATTTTACTGATTAAAACTTACAATATCAACAACTGAGTACAATGAAAATTGACAAGCTGTGAAACTAAAATATCATCACTGTCTGATAATTGGTAGTCTGCTGTGCAGTGAATGCAAAGAAGGTTTGATTGAGTACTGTCACAGACTTAACTAATAACTATAAAACAGATTGGAAAGCTTGCTATCCCAAACAAAATTAAGGAAGCAGTGAGCTATGAATATTTAAAAGATAAGAACTGTACCATACATGTATTTTAACACATTCCCTATTAAAGTTTTATGTAAAAATGTCCAAGTAGAATTTACTGTTAAGGACATAATTTACCGGGTCATCAGAATCAGGGCTGCTTTGTAGTGGTGTGCAACAGTTTAAAAGAAATATGAGTCAGGTACGTAGGTTGATGTGTTGTAACCCATTGTATGAACATAATTTGTACACATATACTACCTTGGAGTAATTGGCTCCTCAGCATATCTTCACAGCAGTACTACTGCTAATCCCTCGCCTGTATAAACATGTTTGATCCTGAGAGAAGTCAGTAGGTAGCTTTTTGATAGTTCGAAACTGAGCCAAGCTGTTCTTGGTCATTGGTCTTTTTAAAAATTATACTGGCTTATCTTAGTGTCTTAGTCAAAGATAAAAACAAACAGATTATCCACACCATTCTATACACTCATCATGCATTCATATTTAGCTTAAAATCTCAAAGTGCATTGCTGTCTTAGTGACGTGATTAAGTCATAAAGTCCTACAAGTTAATCATATATTCATGTTTTATATTATAGGTTTAAATTGTGTTAGGTAAAATGTATTTTACTATTTTTTTGTTTGCTTTGTAATAAGTTATTTGGCTTTCATTGATTCTGACGCTTGTTTTTGCATCTCTCAATGTGCGACCTTTTACAAGATCAAACTACAGCATGGTTCTTGACCTGATCAATTTAGGGGTTCAATCATGGACCAGGCCTAAACTCATTTCCACAACCAGCTATATATGAACAAAAAAGTGACAGTGGTAGAAGTATCTACACTCTTATCTTGCAAGATAGCTGTAATAGTCCTTTAGTTAAGGATGGCACATGCTCTCAGGGCCGATTTACCGAATAGGCACGGTAGGCACGTGCCTAGGGCGCGAGGCAATTGGCTTTTTTGAGGGGCGCCAAAAATTTGGAAAATAAAAAAAAATTGGTGGTTGTTTGCATGCGATTGCGGTAAACTTTCTAATAATCCCTCGCCGCCGTGTAGACATCGTAATCGTCTCCCGCGTTTGCGGCGAGATTCTTACTATTTTCAGCGGTCAGGTCGTTTAGACATAATTATCGTCTTCCATGATCGGAGCAATATATGAGCATATCCCGCGGTCGTGAGGAGATTATCATCGTCTACCGCGAATGAGGCAAAATTCTGATCTTTTCCCGCGGTCGTAAGGACATTATCTTCGTCTTGCGCGATCGCGGTCAAATT